TTGTACCAGTACCAGGCTGTCTTGACTACCGTGGCAGTAAAATAGGTCCTAAAATCAGGTAGTGTAAGGCCTCCCACTTGAGTAGTGACAAGCTTGCTTTACCTCAAATACATGTGGTCTGGACCCAGTCCCTGTCGACTCCAGGACAAATTGATCTATCAGGAGTGGTTAAAAGGCAGCCAGCTATGTTATAGCCACAGGAGATGGCAGTGAGTGGGCTCAGAGCAGCCTGGAGACAGGCGTGTCCTGGGGGCTGGGGTCGAAGGAGACACAGTCCTCACAAAGAGAATAAACTGTCCTGAGCTCCAGTGTCACCTCCTTCGGGAGGCTTTCTTGGTTCCTAAAATGCCCCCTTTCTCTGCCATCTCCCCAAAGCATTAGCAGCAGCAGTCTCAGGAGAGGGGCATCCAGGAGTGACCCCTGCCTTGCTGGTTCCCCACCCATCTCCTCAGACATAGAGGTCTCTATGGTCATCGTTTGGGTGGTGAAGGTGACACCTTAATGGTCTGGGACTCCAGAACAAGGTGGTTTAGTGAGCTGGATCTGAGTGCTGGGCACTGCCCCAGCTGCCCAGGCCCCAGGGGAGACATTTTCAGGAGGAAGACCACTCTTAGGTCTAGTGCTTCTGGGACCTCACCCTGAGAAGGGGGCTGTGCTTTGCCCACTGAGGGCATCCCTGTCCCCAATCTGCCCAAAGCCCATCTGGGTGTCTGAGACCCCACCCCCTGCTCAACCCCCCCTGGAGTGACGGCCTCCCAGACAAGAAAGGCTTTTGTTCCAAGGAAATGACTGTCAAAAGAATAAGAGGTACATTTATTTCTTCTTCTTCTTCTTTTTTTTGTTTGAGACAAAGACGTCAATTTCTTTCCATCTGTCCCAGAAAGGAAAGGAAATTAAATTTGTTTTTACAAGAATGTCAGCACACTGCTTCAATAGGGAGTCAAAGGTACATGACTGAGGCTGGGGAGGGGAGTGTTGAGACATGGGGGAGGCACAGGGAGCAAGGACAGACCCTGATATCTGAGGAAGCAAAGATCTGGGAGTGCCTGAATAAAAACCCAGGCAAATGAAGAAGAAACTCTTATGCCCAGCTGTGGGTGGACCCCGCCCTCAGCAGCTTAAATGTGGCAGCCAGAGCAGGTGGGGAACCTGGAGAAACCAGGGAACCTAGGAGCAGGGGAGAGGGGAGCGAAAGTTGATGCCAGCGCTGCAGTTTTAAGACTTCATCCCTCAGTTCCTTCAAAGTCAGGTCCCCATGTGGGCAGTGCTAGCTCCTACTGGACACATTGGGCACAGCCAGGTGTTGGGGGAAGTGCCAGAGGATTTCTTCAAAGTACCTATCAGAGGCCCAAGACCAGGAGGAGGGAGAGTCCCACTGGTGCTTCTGATACCCTCACCCAGCACCAGGTGCCACTTACCATCCACAGGGCTCTAAATCCATAGTCCTGTCCTTGAGTGCCTGAGCCAAGGAAGCAAAGGCCATGGGAACCCCCGAAAAGCACCCACCCTCTGGCTTGAGGACCCAAGCCCAAAGTAAAAGACTCACTGATCTGCCTCATTCTCGAACCACAGTCCACCACCATTCCTCAGCCCAGAGGCCTCCAAGCTGCTTGCCTCTGGAGCCTCGGTCTCCCATTAGAACTGGGGACTGAGTACCCTAGCCCACTGAGGCTCTGTCCTGCTACCCTATCCCGGAACCAGTGGCCCTGCCTCACTGTCCTGTCCCGTGCACCGCTGGGATGCAGTGCTGGGGGGACGACCAGGATGCTGAGATCCCGCCCATTCCAAGGAAATGTCAGCCAAGGGGATAAGAGTTGTATATAGTTGCTCTCTCTTTTTAAAGATAAAGATACCAAGATGGACCAGAACTGCAGTGAGCCCCACACCCTGCTAGAAATCGGGGCTGGGACTCTACCGCAAAGTTGTGGCTCCACCCTACCGCACACGGGCCCCATCTCACCCCTCCCCACTGCACACAGGCCCAATCTTGCCACGTAATCCAACCTTCTCCACCACCGCCCTTTCCTGGGTCTTGGGCAGCTGAGCTCTTTCAGGTTGCAGGCCCGACCCCTACTCCTATGAGCTCCACACCTGGCTAGAACTCAGGGCTATGACCCTAACTGAATGTCCCAAGATTGAGGCCCCGCCCCACCGTAGCGACCCTCTTTCGCGGCCCAATTCTAGAGCCCCAGGCCCCACTCCCCTAGAGTAGCTAGCTCCCTTCCTCCTTCCCAGAGCCGTAGACCATTGGCACAGAGGCATCACCCCGCCGTTCTGCGCTCACAGGGCCTCAGTCTCGCGGTCTCGTCTCATCTCAGCCCGGCCCCCTTCTCCAACACAGAGGCCTTGTCTGGCGGCCTAGCCTCCGGCTCCCCCACTGCCCCATTCCAGGTCGTGGCCCGCACCCCCATTAGAACTCGGTATGGCCGCCAGGCCACTCCGGCGGGGCGCGCGGGGGGCCAGCTCCGCCTAGTCAGGCGGCGGCGCCACCCCCAGGGCCGTCGGAAGGGGTGCAAGCGGAGACCCGCTCCCGGGCCGTGGCCTCGCGGGCGCGGCTGAAGCTGCCGGGTTCCGGGCGGCCGCAGGGCGAGCGGCAGAGCTGGCGGAAGCAGCGTCTGAAGTTCTCGTCGAGGAAGGCGTAAAGCACAGGGTTGAGGCTGCTGTTGGCGTAGCCGAGCGCAATGCACAGGTGCAGCGCGGCCACCACGAGCGGGTCGCGCCGGTCGATGTCCACCAGCGTCCAGACGATGACGAAGATGTGGATGGGCGCCCAGCACACTACGAACGCGCCCACCACCACCAGCACCATGCGCGTGATGCGCCGCAGGCTACGGTCCTTCTCCTTGGAGCCGGACAGCAGGCGCACGCTGCGCAGGCGCAGCAGCATGAGGCCGTAGCACACGGTGATGATGAGGATGGGCACGACGAAGGCGAAGAGGAAGACGCAGATCTTGGTCACCGTGTCCCAGTACCAGCTGGGGCTGGGGAACTGCAGCATGCACACCACCGCTCCGTCTGGGTCAGCAACAAACAGACGGGGACACAGCGTGAGGGGTCTGTGCACCTAAAGGGCTCTGCCGGCTTACCCACTCTTCTTGGCTTGGTTAAGTCCAGCAGCCTTCTCAGGGCTTTGTTGTTCTGTTGCCTGGAATGTTCTCCTTTGTTTCTGCACCTGCTAGACTCACTGGTAGACTCCTTAGAGACCCACCAAGATTGGCCCTCATCGGGGAGGTCTCCCTTCTAAGGTGCACTCCCAGCCCCTTTATAAGCTCATGTCTGTGCACAGCAGAAATATTATAATTTAGCCCAGTACAATGCCAGTCATTGTGATAACTCAAAACACCCCACCCATTTCCAACCGCTAAGATCAGCTTACGATCGACTTTCTTAAACAGCATGGGTTAAAATCAGGACTCAGGCCCTACTAGCTGTGTGGTGTGACCTTGGGCAAATTACTCAACCTCTTCAAGTGGGAGTAACAGTACCTCCACAACACAGGGCTGTTGTGAGAATTACATGGGCTAAGGCAGGTAAAGCATTTAGCACAGTGTGGTTCAAACTCGGTGTACTCACAGGGCAGCGGGACAGACACGTGTGGGAGCCCAGACGTCAGGGCTAGGGCCAGGGTGGGAGAGAGACTCCAGGGCGGCAGATCTCGGCTTAATGTCAGGAAGAGCTTTCTGATAGCCAGACAGACTTGTCCAGAGATAGGACGGGCACTCAGGATGGAATGAGCTCCCCTGGTTCCTCGAGTGTGGGTTTGGGCTGGATGAGCACTTTAGAGGATGTTGTGGGATTCCCATGCAGAGCTGCAGCTGGCCCAGGGACTCCCCAGATCTCTTGGAATTATGGGATTTGAGAAGCCCAACCATGGATTTGGGGTCTGAGAGTTATGAGAAGAGGGTTGGGGATCCACACCCTCAGCCCACAGACAGAGTGGGTCTACTGGACATCAGGCTAGCAAGATCCCTAGGGACCATTTACTCCAAGACCTTCATTGTACAGTGGGCTAAACAAGGTCCACAGATGAACAACATTTGCCCAAGTTGGCAAGTGGCATACAGAACCAACAAGTGCCGATGGTACACACTGGGGGAGTGTGTGTGTGTGGACTGAGGAGGCCCATTTGGTCCAGCCCCCAGCAGGGCTGCAATTAATAGCCCGTAAGCTGAAGGCTGACAGTTAGGAATGAGGCCTGGCTGCTGAGTCAGGACTCAGGGACTGTGTGAGGGCAGTGGGGCCTCTGCCCTTGTGAGGGTCAAGAGTGGCCAATAAGTCTACCACCCACCAAGCCTGCTTTCTTCTCTAGCATCATCCCTCTGCAAACCTTCATGCACACTGGGGCCAGAAGCAACCACAGATTTGGAGGCAGGAACTTTGAGTTCTAGTCCAAATTCCACCAAATACCTGGCTGTGTGACCCTAAGTAAACCACCTGACATCTCTGATTCTTAGTTTCCTTACAGTCAAATGGAGGTAGGAGTCCCTGCCCTGCCTAACCTCACAGGCTTAATCATTCTAACAGCTGCTATTTATTAACAATGAGCCAGGCCTTGTTCTAAGTGTTTTACACATATTAACTCATTTAAACATCCCATGATACAGTGTGGCTCATATGGGTTAATTAGTCACCAGTGTCTTTGGCACCTGCTAGACTACTTTCCTGCTTCCTTACATCCAGTCAGGGCCATGCAACCAGCTATCACTAGGAAGGGATGGGCCATAACATTTAAGAGTGGGTGTGCTTTCTCCCTACTCTCTCTCCATATTCATCTGCTGGCCAGATGCAGAGAAGCCAATGGAAGATTACAAAGGCATCAGTTAGAGCCTAGCTCCCTGTATGACTATGTGGAATAGAGCTCCTCCTCCTCTTATTCACATTTGACAGATGTGAGTGAGAAATAAACTACTGTGTTAAGCCACTGAGCTTTGGGGACTGTTTGTTACAGCATCTACCTCGATTAATACAGGTAATTACTAAAATAATTACCATTTTACTCTGAGGAGATGCATCTGTCTATACACTCTCTGCAGAAGACTAGGCCGTGCTTTGGTCATATAAGCCAATGGTTTTCAAATAGGGGTGGAAGGAGTTTGGGTTGTGACCACAAAGCTTGTGGCCTCCACTGCTCGCTAACTGGTCTGTGACACCCTCACCCACTGGCCATCCACCCATCTCCCTACAGGTCAGTGGTCCACACACTCCTGGCCAACTGCCTACATGCACATGGACTAGCCATTCATAATCCCACTGGCCAATTATTCATACACTCCCTTTGACCAGCAATCCATATGACCACTGACCAATCATTCATCCTCCGAACAGTAAACCACCATCTCCCCCACTGGCCAACCATCCATATTACCACTGGCTGACATCCACACTCCCACTAGCCAGCCATCCACATACCCCTAGCCAGCCAACCATACTTCCCTTTGGCCAGAGTGACAGTCTACACTGGTCAGCCACAACCCCTCCTTCAGCCAGTCATCCACACCTCCACTGGCCAGCCATCCATACTTTCATTGATTAGCAATCTATACCTCCACCAGTAGCCACCTACACCCACCCCACTAATGGCCTGCAAACCCACAGAGGCCCATGCGCTGCCTCCTGTGGTCAGTGGCCTGTGCTATGGTTCATCACTCACTCACCCCGGGGGTGGGTCACAGCCATGACCATGATGGGCACGCCGACACCTGAGGCCAGGACCCAGATGCAGATGTTGATCAGCTTGGCCTTGGCGGGTGTGCGGAAGTCCAAGGCCTTGACAGGGTGGCAGACAGCGATGTAGCGGTCGACACTCATCATGGTGAGTGTGAAGATGCTGGTGAACATGTTGTAGTAGTCAATGGAAAGTACGGCCTTGCAGAGCAGTTCCCCGAAGGGCCACGTCTCCATCAGGTACTTGGCACTTTGGAAGGGCAGTGTGCTGGTGGCCAATGCGTCCGCCAAGGCCAGATTGAAGATGTAGATGTTGGTGGCTGTCTTCATCTTAGTGTACCTTGGAAGGAAGTATAATTGTTTCCATTTCATAGATTTCAGCTTCCCATTAAACTTAGGGAGGTGAAGTGATTTCCCCAAGGCCACACAAAAGGTCAGGGATAGAAGTGGGACTTGAACTATCTGATTTAGCATCAGTTCTTTCTCCTACAACAGATGCAAAAGGATTTCTCTGGCTGTAAGTAACTTTGGCAGAAGGTATCTAAAGTATATATTAGAAAGAAGTATCTTCTGATAGGTACTAAACAATATGCTTAAAGATAAAACTGGGCTCCAGAGGAAAACAGATCTGGGTTCTAATCCTGCCTCTACTACTTATTAAGGGCAGTGGTGGTTCAGTGGTAGAATTCTCACCTTCCATGCAGGAGACCTGGGTTAGATGCTCAGCCAATGTACCTCATGTGCAGCTACCACCCATCTGTCAGTGGTGGCTTGTGTGTTGCTCTGATGCTGAACAGGTTACAGGGGAGCTTCCAGACTAGGAAAAAAGGCCTGGCAAGCTATTTATAAAAATCAGCCAATGAAAACCCTACAGACCACAACTGTCTAATCCATAACCAGCCATGGGGATGGCACAGGACTGGGCAGCATTTCATTTGGTTGTGCATGGGGTTGCCATGTGTCGGAGGCCGACTTGATGGCAGCTAACACCACTACGTTATTAGCTGAATGATTCTGGGCTAGTAACTTGAACTCTCCAAGCCTCAGTTTCCGTAAATGATACTTGTATTAACCTCACTTGTGGTTGTGAAAATTCAATGAGATAATAAAGCACTTAGCCCTGAGATCAATATATATGGCAAACACACTGAAGCCTGGCGGCTAGACTGGAGTGACCTGACCCTCTGGCCTCTGCCCATTAGCCTGACCTTCTGGGAGTATGACTGGCCAGCTTGGAAAGGGACTCTGCTTGGCAGACCAGATGTGGCCTTAGAACCCCTGGGTGTCCCCCATGGGAGACAAGGGCTCCCAGTCCACCCTGTGGTCCCATCCATACCTTATCCACATGTAGCTGGGCTTGCTCCTCTGTAGCAGCATCAGTGCATTCCCCTCCCTACCCACAGTGATGTAGGGAAGGGAGCAGCTGACAGTGTCACACATCCAAACTGGGGCATGAGCTCAGGTGTTCAAGCTGCCAGATGCCTGCAAACCAAGCCCCCTGCAGCTGACACTCCCCATCACCCCTCCATGCTCTGTGCTGCCACACAGATGTCTGTGCTACAGCCGGCCCCTTGTTTGGGGCCCCTGCTGTGCCAGGGCCAGGGCTGGACACCGAGAACTTACAGGAAATTGCACACACCAAAACAGACTGTCACCTGAGGTGTGATCACCACAGAAACAACACACAGGTCACTGAGGCAGGGGTAAGGACTTCTTTCATGCCCCTGGAATGGTCAGGGAAACCCACAGATGGGGTACACAAGCAACTCATCAAATTTCAGAGCAGGAAGGGCCATGAGAAATCGAGGGAAGTGGTTTATTTAAAGTGTGGTCCAAGGACTCCCTTCAGAATTACTTGATAAGCCTGTTAGAAATGCAGATTCCTGCCCCCTCCACCCCAACCCCCAACCCCCACCGAGACCTGCTAAATCAGTCTCTGGTACTGGGGCCCTTGGGAATCTTCGTCTTTAACAACACCCTCCACCCCAAGTGATTCTTATGAACGCTAAAATTAGAATCATTTATGTAGCCTAAAACCCTTACTGGGGAGAGATGAGGAAACTGAGGACCAGAGAGGCAGCATGACTCACCCAAGGTCACACAGCAACAGTGGCAGAGCCAAGGCAAGCACTTAGACCTCCTGACTCCCAGACCTTTCTACCCTACTACACAGGATGGTGCCACACCGTGTGATTCCACTCCTTTAGAAACCCCCTGATACCACACCCAGCCCTGGGCACTTGAGGTGAGTGCCCTCAAAACGTTTTGAACGACTGAGCAAACTCTACGTTAGCTAAGGTTGTTCTTTCATGAAATGACTGATTTTTTGGTCTTAAAACAAACTCACTTATTGTCCTCCAGGGCCAGCAGCTGTCCCATTCCCTCCCAAAATAGCTGCCCTTTGCTCTGCAGCTAGAGAAGCAAAAAGTTTTGCTCGGAGACAGCAGAATTGCAAGTCTCAGAAAGTCTGTCTTCAGCGGGGTACGGGATCACAGCTGTGTGGGAGGCGGTCTTCACCCCACAGTTGACTCGTCTAATTTCTCTTCTCTTACGCAGAACAATTAGAGGCTGTTCTTTGCCTGCTATTTTGATTTGTGAAGGATCCTTCAATTCCCAGAGGGGGCTGGGGTGCTGGGAAGTAGGTGATGAAGCTCCCTTAGCTGGTCCAGGCAGGGATGAGCGTTACAGTGCTGTCTGCCAGGCCGAGCCCCCGAGGATCCTCTCCTTACAGGCCTCCCTCTCCCTCACCCTCTATACAAACCAACCACCAAGACCTGTCCTGTAGGTCTCCTCAGATTTCCCCTCTCCAGCCCCAAGACAAATCATGCCACTCCCCTGCTCTCAAGACCCCAGTTGCTCCCCAAAGTTCTCTCTGCATTCCACCAGCTGGCCCCTGACCAATTCTCCAACCTCAGCTCCCAGCACCTCCGCCTTGATTAATGTGCCCCCTGCTCCACTGGCCTTGTTGCTGTTCCTTAGACAGGCCAAGCCCACTCCCACCTCAGAGCCTTTGCACTTACTGCTCCTTCTGCCTAGAACCCTGGACCCCCAAAGTTTTCATGGCTTGCTTTTTCACTTAATTCAGGACCTTAGTCAAAGGTCATCTCCTCAGAGACGCTGTCCCTGCCATCCTATCTAAAGTGCCCCCTCTCCATTTTTCTTCACAGCACAAACCAACTGCCTGGCATATTTATCTTCTTTTGTTCATTTGTCCCTCTCGCCCAAGTGAGCTCCCTGAAGGCAGGGGTCTTAGTCCATTTTGTTCCCTACTGTATCATCAAGCCCACCAATGCTGTTGTTGTGTGCCGTCGAGTCGATTCCAACTCATAGTGACCCTTTAGAACAGAGTAGAACTGGCCCATAGGGTTTCCTAGACTGTAATCTTTATGTGAGCAGACCACCAGGTCTTTTCACCCACAGACCCGCTGGCGGGTTTGAACCACTGACCTCTTGGTTAGCAGCCGAGTGCTTAACCATTGTACCACCACGTCTCCTTTGGCCTACCAATAGTGCCTAGCAATGTTGTTGTTGTTAAGTGCCGTCGAGTCGGTTCCGACTCATAGCAGCCCTATGGGACAGAGTAGAACTGCCTGGTAGGGTTTTCAAGGAGTGGCTGGTGGATTTGAACTGCTGACCTTTTGGTTAGCAGGTGAGCTCTTAACTACTATGCCACCAGGGCTCTTCTCAATAGACGTTGTTTGGATGCCTGAGTCCAGGCCCATCAGCTCTCACAGGGATCACTGCAGCAGCCTCCTGCCTGCTTGCCCCACCCGAAGCCTCTCTCCTGCACTTCATCACCCACATAAGTCAGGATGTTCATTGTAAAAAGCACATTTGCTCAGGACACTTTCCGGCTTACAATCCTTCCATGACTCCCCATCGCCACTGTTATGGCTTGAACTGTGTCCCCCCAAAATATGTGTTGGAATCCTAACCCCTATACCTATGGATGTAATCCCATTTGGGAATAGGGTTCTTGGTTCTTATTATGTTAACAAGGCCATATCAGTGTAGGGCGCATCCTAAACCTAATCACTTCTGCACAGATGCAGAGACAAGCAAGCACAAATGGGGAAGATAGAAGCCACATGAAAATAGCCAAGGAACAGAGGAACGTGGAGGCTACAGAAGCTGAGACAAAGAAGGAACTCCCTCCCAAGAGCCACATCCTGAATTCAGACTTCTAGCTTCATGAACTGTGAGAAAAATTTCTTTCTTTAAAGCCACCCACTTGTGGTATTTCTGTTACAGCAGCACTAGCGAACTAAGACACTGACCTAGATAAAAATCAAACTCCTCGGACTGGCATTCAAGGCTCCTGACCGCTTGGGTAGCCTCCTTTCCCACAGTGCCTCCCCATGTCCAGCCACACCTGTATGTGGTTCCTCAAATGCTCTGTCTAGCATGCACCCTTCCAAGAGACAGCCCCTGTAATGGTTTAGTAGGGATCCTTCCAAACCATATATATGTATATAACTTGCTATAAATTTGTATTTCTGCCAAGGTAATACAGGAGCCCAGGTGGCATAGTGGTTAAGAGCTCAGCTGCTAACCAAAAGGTCAGGAGTTCGAATCCACCAGCCCCTCCTTGGAAACCCTATGGGGCAGTTCTACTCTGTCCTGTAGGGTCACTAGGAGTCAGAATCAACTCGATGGCAACGGAAATAGTCATATAGTACTATAATGAAAATAGTTGTCCTCTTGCTTCACCTTCCTCATTCCCCTGTCCTGCTCCCCAGAGGCAACCACTTGTAATGTTTTTGGCTATTCTTCTAGTGATTATCTCCATCATTCTAAATAATATGCTTAAATGGCTATTTCATGACTTACCAATTTTAGGATAGTATCTGTTGAAGTCTGTATTTGGTTAAGCTGGGTTATGCAGCAGTAACAAACACTTCCAAAATCTCAGTGGCTTAAATGATAAAGGTTTATTTCTCATTCTTGTAGAGTCCATTCAAGGTCTCCAAGACAACTATATTCCATGAGGCACTTCCAGGCTGTTTCAACCTTGTGACTTGGCCATCTTAACCCAAGGCCTCCACAGTCACCACAGAGGGAGAAGAGACAGATGCAGGGTCATCTAAGCTTCAGAACTAGTCACGTGGCCCCACCCAACTGCAGTGAGGTGAGAAGTACAGTCTTCTATGTGCCCAGAAATAGGAAGAACCAGATATTAGCGAACAATAGTAATGTCCCACCACAACTCCCTATTATGGCATATAAGGGTTAACTCTTTTTACATTACCCAAGTCCCTTTCTTCTCCCCATCCTCCCAACATAGTTTTAGCACAACTTTTAGCTAAATCATTATTCAGAGTTTACATTCTTATGACCTTG